ATATTACTATCTTTGAATATAAGTGATTTATTTTTCTTTTGTAATTTTGGGGCCTCCTAGATAGCATTGAAATTAACTCCTGTATATTAATATTGGAAAAATTTGTTATATTTCCACTGGGTTATATATTTATGAAAAGTGAGGATTTCTTAAAGTTGAAAGATTACCAGAGCAGTTCTTCCCTTTGAGGACATGGGCTTCAAGTAGAACAACGTGGTTTCGGGCATTCTCTGTTAAACACTTCAGCTCTGCGCACTTCAATGGTACTCAGAGCATGCAGCCAGCCCTCCATTTTCTCAGGTTTTGCTTCCAACATGGAACCCCGATGCTTGTGTATTTACTGAATACATATGTGTGGGCTCCCTTCTTGTCATTAGTCCCTAAGCAATACAGCATGGCAACTATTTACACAGCATTACATTTCGTAAGTAAGACGAGTCATTTAGTGATCATTTAGAGTCTGAGGGAGGATGTACGTAAGTTCCACTGAAATGCCGTGTTGTTTTAAATAATTAGAATGCCTGGGATTTGGGTAACTAAAGCCGGGTACTGGAACCTGTGTCCAGAACACCAAGAAATGACTTTATTGCTGTCTTTGTGTTTAAAATGTTAGTCAGCTGTGCGTGCGCAGTCAAATCCATTCAGTCTCATAAGTGCGTGTAAAAGTGTGACTAAACATGTTCTTTGTGATCTAGAGAGGTGATGGTCAAAGTAAACAAGGAGTCAAAACACAAGCTGTCCTACTCGGGGAGGGTGAAAGCGCTCTGCCTGCAGAAGAACACGGCTCTCTGGATAGGAACTGGAGGAGGCCACATTTTGCTCCTGGACCTTTCTACCCGACGAGTGATACGCACCATTCACAACTTCTGTGACTCTGTGAGAGCCATGACCATGGCACAGCTAGGCAAGTTCCTTTCCTTTAAATAGGTCCATAGCCCTTATGATGATAAAATATGCCATTTAAAAAAAATAAATTCTTTAATCAGACTTTCTGGTGCCATTTGTAGTGTGTTAGAGGGTCACACAATGAAGTCAGATCTGGGACAACCCCTGAAAAGGGCCAGTTAACCCTGAAGGGGCTTTAGAGGGTCACACAATGAAGCCAGAACTGGGACAACCTCTGAACTGGGCCAGTCAGCACTAGAGGGGCTGGATGCGCTCATTCTCATCAGAGAGGTGGGCAATATCAGAGGAATTATCAGTTTGTCTCTTAAGAGCTTTTTTCTTTATATATAAGGCAAAATGAAAATTGAATACTATATTTATTTTATTTTTTATCAGATGAGTCATGAAAATGTTTATTTTGAGCTTTGTCTAAGTTTCCCACCCTTGTTAGACTCCTACTTGGATTTTAGTCTTTACACAGATTTATATTCTAAGAGCGATGCACAGTGACCTAATGTTAAGTTTTACTCAAGCGTTTGTTTATATTATTGTTCCTATATTCCCCCCACACTTAAATGTGAATAAATTTAGAATACCATATGGAATATATCTTCACAGAGGGATTTTTCAGTATCTTTTTTGATGAATAATTTTATTTAGAAAACACTATCTGCCCATGTATGCAAATCCAATGACAAAATATTACAGTAGGTTTTATTTCTCCAAAAGCAGAGATGATGGGACTTCAGAGAGTGGAAGGTGAAGCACTCATCATATGAGGAATAAATTTGGCACCAACAGGAGTTTCCCCTGCCCTATGTGGACTTTTATTTTATAGATATTAGAGCTGCATGCATTAGCTAGAATTAGGTGTGTTATGGGATTGTTAACTATCATTCCTTTCTTTCTTTCTTTCTTTCTTTCTTTCTTTCTTTCTTTCTTTCTTTCTTTCTTTCTTTCTATCTTTCTATCCATCCATCTTCTATCTATCTATCTATCTATCTATCTATCTATCTATCTATCTATCTATCTGTCGATATCTATATATTAAATAACCAGGGAGAGAGATCTTAGGGGGCCTGTATCTACCAACTGTGTTAAAGTCTCAGTTTTGGGTTGTATGTACTGTGGGGTCCAAGTGGTTGGTTTATTGCTGAAGTTGTAGTCAGTGCATGGATCATAATCGATTTTAAAGTCAAGGAGAATTGAAACACCTACTGCCTACAAGTGCTTCAGTTACCAGCAGTCTGTCTCCATGACCACACATTTTTTTGTTGTTGTTTTCGTTCTTCCTGACTCAGGAAGTGTGGAGTCTCTCACAGGGCTCTATCCTTCTGAAGCATTTGCACATATGGTTCTTTCTCTTCTTAATCAGTTAAATTAGTTTGTCATCTTGCATTTTGATGCATTCGCTCTTGTATTCAGCTTCAGAGTAGCTGGGGATGATTAAGTTGACTTTTTTCTTTGGGCTTTTGGAAGCCATCACTGGCATAACATTGGGCAGTTATGACTTTTTCCCCCAGTAACGACCGTATCTTTATTAGAGCATAAACACCATGCAGGATGGGTGAGTCTGTGAGTTCTCCTTCTTGCAATATTCTTAGGACCTTTCAAAAGACCCAGTATGTACAACACTTCTTGATAGATAATTGACAAAACATTAGCAAAAGACTCAAGAGAAACTTGTGATATTATAGGCTGTCAATGTATCAATTCACCTTGCTTTCCAGGTGCCTCATGATTGTGCCTTGATTTGAATAATGCACTGTCTTGGGCTTCCATTTAATATTGTAGCTCTAGAGAGGAATTAAATGTAAATATCAAACCTATGTGTATAAAAGAGTAAACAGTTTCCTCATATTAATATAATTTTCATAGGTTTTCTTTAGAAATTGCTGATCTGTTGGGAAGGTTTTGATATATCTGAAGTGTGTTCCAAAGAATAGCAGTGTGATTTCAGTTCCACCATATTTGTGTTTAAGATGTGGACAGATGAATGCTTTTTAGTTGAATATGATATATTATTTTAACAGAAAAATTCTTTTTTTTTTTTGGTAAAGGAAGCCTTAAAAATGTCATGCTGGTTTTGGGGTACAAAAGGAAGAATACAGAAGGTGCCCAAGAACAAAAAGGTACCATTAGCATCATTCTCTGTGCTGAAAAGCATGTGTTGTGAGGTGGCCATACACTGTGCATTGAGAGCTGATAACTCATGTAATGCATTCTACATTCAGCAACATCTTCTTAAAAAATTATTATATGTATTTAGTTATTTGTGTGTGTGTGTGTGTGTGTTGTTTGTGTTCCTATGTCTCCTGTATGTTTGGGTGCATGCATGTTAAAATCAGGGGATAGCATGAAGGAGTTGGCTCTATTCTTGCACCATGTGGGTCCCAGAGTTCGGGCTCTGATCTTCAGTCTTCACAGCAAAAACCTTCAGCTGCTGAGCCATCTCATCGGTTCTCATCAGCAAATTCCATTTGAGCTATAAAGTGTAAATAACTGAGACATTTTCAAAATTAAATTTTATCAGCTTAAGAGAGTTAAATGTTTTCCCGAAGTGATAGAGATAACAACCACTGTAAAGTGTGGACTCAACTGAGTTTAAATTAAAGGAAATATTTTTCCTTGCAAATTATTTTCATAGGAAAATCTCTGTGCTCCCCAATATTGAACAATATTTGAAATAACTATTTCTCTAAGTAAATAGGTAATAAAATGTACTTCTTAGAATTTAGGAGCTTTTTAATTAATATGTGATTGACAGTCCCAAGGGGAATTTGTTTTAAAATAGTACACTTAGTACCTTAGTACACTTTTTAGGCTGAGTTTATATTTATACATTTGTTCTGATCAAATCAATATAAGTTAATAAAACTGCTTTACAGTGGATCTTTGAAATACAATTTCTTTTATTCCTTACAGAAATACAGTCTTGCTTGTCTATTTGGGACATCAATCTTCCACACGAAGTACAAAATTTAGAAAAACACATTGAAGTGAGAACAGAATTAGCTGACAAAATGAGAAGAATATCCGTTGACTAGGAGATACCAGACACCCCTGCCATGGGATTGGAAAATGGACCTCTTGATTTTAAAATATATTTTTAAAATGTTTACATTGAAAAGTATATCCTATTCTTTGAAAAACTCATATGTATATGAAGGAATGTGTATGTTTTATGCTTAATTTAATATATGTAAAATATTTATCAGCAAACGTGTCTTAAAGAACTATTTAATTTAGTACTATATTTTCTATATGCTTTAACTAATTTGATGGGATAATCAACAGAAATCTACAAAGTATTTAATTTCAGTATTTATACTAAAATTTATAAGGCAGCCAGGTTTGTTTTGCTATGCAATATGAAGATAAATCTATTTTAAATTGTTGCTTAAGATGTGGATGTTGCTTGTTTACTATCTATGGATTCTGTAGAGTCGAATAAAAACATCCGGGCAGCTTCCCATGTAATAGATACTTTCATATCTTGTTTTTAAGTGCATTCTCATCTTAATTGTAAATTGCCAGATTTTTCAGTAATAAAGATTTTTGCTAGGTCAAGAATGATCTTGGTGCTGATGCAAAGTTCATCTAACACAATTTCATCTAAAAGAGAATTCCACTAAAAATGTCAGGAATATGAAGCACAGTTTGTGTCCAAGACCTAAAAGGAAACTTTATGAAAACTCCTGAAAAGGAGACATGATGTCAACAAAGAGGCCTCATGTCTGAGAATGACAGTCTTTCTCTTTCCTACTCCACCTTTAAATGTGGATGCCCTAGAGTTTATATACTCAGTGTAAATACAGTGGTCATGGGTATATTTCTGTCTTTTTTCTTACTTGTTTATTATATATTTATGTGTGTGATGGATGTGTATTGCGTGCCATGCACACACATGGAGGTCAGGGGCCACTTGCAAGATTTGGCTGTCTCCTTCCGCCATATGGATGCTAGAGATTGGATTCAAGTCATCAAGCTCAGCAACAAGTGTCCTTACATGCTGAGCATCTTGTTGGCTCTGGCTCCAGGTGTTGGTTTGTGACTCTCAGTAGTAAGGTACACCTCTGGATACTTGCTTTCTATTTCCTGCCTGATTTTGCTTTTATGCAACTACTTATATTTTCCCTAAATTTGTGACCCTATACATGTTCTTTATCTCATATTTATATATATGTGTGTGTTCTGCAAGTAAGATTATATATAGAGATATATATGCATATCTACATATGTATATATTATATGTTATATATATATATATATATATATATACATGTACCAAAAATCTTACTTTCAGAATAACCTGTTTCTACAATTACTATCAAGCCCATTGAAACAAATGTATAGCTTATTCTTCAATTTATTGAAGAAGGAATTTTAGCTCAACTGAGCAAAACTAACTGCTTATATAGTCATTTAAATTAGACCCATTATGATCAAATGTCTTCCCACAATGAGTATTATTATATATGTAATAACTTGAGAAACATTTTCTAGGGAAAATGCTTGTGGTAAGGTCACAGACCGTGGCTAATACTCATCACTTCAAGCTGCTTCCCATAATAAGATGACAAACAGAATTGGCTAGAGTTTTAGGTATGAATAAATTTTTTCTATTAAGGTTAATCAAATTCTTAACCTGGAAAAACTTCTAGTCTTCATGGTGACATAACTAGCTTCATTACATCATTAATAACAGAAATTCAGTCATGACAAATTACTCATGATGAGACTCAATCCTGTGATAATTTCTCTCATTGAGCAAAGGCCTCACATCCAAGACCTAATAGGAAACTGCTATAAAGGATACATGACGTCACCACAGAGGCCTCAAGTCTAAGAATGACAGCCTCCCATTCTTTCTACTCCACCTTTAAATATTGATGCCCTAAAATTTATATAATTAGTGTAAGTTCAGTGCTCTTCTTCATGTCGTATATTTTTTTCTTGGTGTGTGCACTTTTTAAAAACCAAGTAGCTCCAAAATATGTAAAAACATTGTATAATCATGTTCAAACATGCAATGGTAAAATAGCGCTACTCCTCCGATGTAAGGCTCTATTCATCTCAAATGGAGCTTTGTGTTCAGCCATGCATGGGTGATGCGTCTAGGGAGCTACACGCAGAACTTTTCCTTGGGAATTTAAATTAAATTCCATTTTCTATAACACAAATAGTTGCTCAAATACTAAAACAAAGATAGTATATTTCAAGAGATCATGTAAACCTTAAAAAACTTATACAACAGAAAACGTATATAATAGAAAATGCTTCAGTTTTCATGTAGAAATATTGAATTAAAAAAATGAAAACCAGTCTCTCTGAATCTAATCCTGGCCAACACTATATTGATTGTACATAACTACTTTATAGTCAAAAGGCTGGGAGTGGGAAGATAAGAGTGTTTGCCTTCCACAGGAAACCCAGACTCACCTAAAAATGCCGAACATAGTGTCACATGCCTGTGATCCCAGCACCACTGATGGGGAGGCAGATGGATCCCTGGAGCTCACTCACTCCCCAGTCTAACCTACTCAGTGAGCTCCAAGCCAAGGAACAATCCTGTCTCAAAACACAATTATTTTTCATGAGCAAAGTATAAGTAATTCGAAAGATGGTAAACTCCACATTCAAAGTGAACATACAATGGTCAGACTATTAAAGAGATAACTGGCACTTTGCTTAGTTGCAGAGCCATCACTTTGGCAGTGGTGGAGGAGAATAGAGATAGTTCCATGTTATCCACCTCACTATCCTGAGTTATCTGAAGTTTTTAAGGCCTCCCACTCAAGCCAAAGAAATGAGAGTTTATGACTTGAATACTGTAAAGAACTCCAGCATATCTGCTATAATGGTACAGAGCTTAGGGATTTATTAGTGATGTTTTAGTACAGGTACAAGCATTTAGAAGAGAAAAGGAGCACTTAGAAGAAACAAGGCACATTCACGTGGGGATTTGTGCTTCCCTAAGGGCAATGAAGAAGAGTAATATGGAGTAATATGTAACCAAGTGTGAGAACTGCCTCCTCAAGGGAGAATAAGCAATTGATTGTCTTAACAGTCACCACCTTTGCGCTTTTAGTGACTCTCAAGTTACAGCTCAAAAGATTGCTAAGAAACCTTTCCGTTAGTTCTTCAGTTCTTCTTCTTCTTCTTCTTCTTCTTCTTCTTCTTCTTCTTCTTCTTCTTCTTCTTCTTCTTCTTCTTCTTCTTCTTCTTCTTCTTCTTCTCCTTCTCCTTCTCCTTCTCCTTCTCCTTCTCCTTCTCCTTCTCCTTCTNCCTCCCTCCCTCCCTCCCTCCCTCCCTCCCTCCCTCCCTTCCTTCCTTCCTTCCTTCCTTCCTTCCTTCCTTCCTTCCTTCCTTCCTTTTTGACAAGAAAGAGGTGTGAAGCAGCTCCAAAGATGTGCTGGAAGAAATTAGGATCTGATTAATTAAAACCAGAAGGAATTTTATTTATTTATTTATTTTAAAAATGATTTTAGTCCAGATTGATTTCCTGTGATTGGGGTTTCTAGAAGGATCCTGAGAAATCTGAAGGCTTTGGGCAGGGAAGGGAGAGTGGCTTCAAGCAGTTGTTAGTTGTACTAGAATTCTTGCTCCACTACTAGCAAGGACTACCTGATTGATGCTCGCGTACATCTTTCCCCATTATCATATTTCCAAGATGTTCTCTGTCTTTCTCTCACATATCAGGCATGTATAGTTTGAGCATGAATCTAAAGCTGAATACTTTTCCTAGAGACAGAAGAAATGCAATAAAATTTGAAATTTTCTAATTCAGAGTGAGTGCAAACCTTGTTTTCCATTGTTTTTATTTGCCCAGCCATTGCTTCTGTAACAGCATAAGATGTGGGTGTGTTACAGATAACACACTTGGTTCTTCTGATCTTTCACAGCTTAATCTTTGGCTTTGAAGCATAGGCAGGGGGTCCAGGAGCCAAGGGCTTGCTGTATGATCAGAGTCCTGAGCAGAGACAGGAAGAATGGGACCTTCCTAATCCGTTGTTCCCTTGACATTTGTTATCCAGCCTTACCCAGGGAGATGCTGTGTGCTGAAGACTTGGCCTAAAGAGTAGGGAGGAAGAAAGACTTTCAGTGTGTGCACACTGAGCTATTGCCTTGCTTCTGTGATAATCTGCTGTGCAATGATACTTACACCAGTAACCTAAACTCTACACAATACCCCTTACAAGTTACTTCAGTTGATTGGCATTGTATCTGTGCACTTTAACACCACAAAACAGTGTAGTTCCCACTTAGAGACAAAAATAGAACAGTATGATAAAATGGGTGATCAGAGAAGAAACTATAAAAATCAGAGCTAGTATTCAGGTATGTTTTAAAAATGTATACTGCCAAATACTGATGTTTATGACAATTTCTCATCTCTTGACAACTTGATTCTAATGTATGGAAAACATTTGAATAACTTTTTTTCTTTTCCTTTATTCCTTCCTTCCTTTTTTTTCCTTTTCTTTCCACCTCACCTTTAAAGTAATTCTGAAGTTAATTTTAGTATATTGAATTTCTACCACGTATGTTTAAAAAATAGTAATAGAAAATATTCTAAATCAACTTGCAAAATACAATTTGCAATGCAATGGGGGTAAAATCCTTGGTTATTTACTTAAAGTTCTAGGTTCCTTTGTGTTTTTTAACATGGAAGATAGAATTTAAATGTCTCCTTTCTTCCTAAGACCCTCTCCAAGAAGTTCAATAGCTTTATAATTAATTTAATAGAGCCAGCAATGGCCTGGAGCCAGGTCCTTGGGGAACTGTGGCTTTCGATTCTGAGAACCCAACTCTTTCAACATAGGGGCTCTGCTTATCAGTTCCACGGCTGCTTGGGGCTCAGTCTGTGTTCCTCTTGTGCAATATTATTTGGTTACCTTCCCCCTGACAAAGTTCCATTGTATGACTGTTTCTGATGCCTTTGTCTCATCCCCACCCCAGAAATAGTATATAAGAAGCTGTGTCCTTAATAAGCTTGCTTGGCCTATGTCATCTGGTACAAGACCTCCAAACCCCAGCTTTCCTATTGATCTTCTTAGCTCCTGGCTAGTTGTGTGTGCCAGAATGACAAGCTAGAGACATCAGAGAGGAAGGAGCCTCCGTTGAGCAAATGCCTCCATGATATCCAGCTGTAAATAATCCTCAATTAGTGATTAGGGGATAAGGCCCAGCCCATGGTGGGTGGTGTCATCTCTGGGCTGGTGGTCTTGGGTTCTATACAGGTTGAGCAACCAATGGAAAGCAAGCTGTAAGTAGCATCTGTCTATGGCCTCTGCATCAGCTCCTGACTCCAGGATCCTGCCCTGCTCAAATTCTTGTCCTAACTTCCTTCACTAATGAACAGCAATGTGGAAGTGTAAGCTAAATAAACCCTTACCTCCCCAACTTGCTTTTTGGTCATCGTGTTTCATGGCAGCAATAGAAACCCTAACGAAGACATAGGGGTGTGCATGTGTGAGTATGGGTGTGCTTACCGTATCCAGGTCCCTGTGTAGACATGGATGACACTAGGATGTCTTCTTCAGTTGATTCTCTGCCATTTTTGAGATAATATC